GGAGGCCATCGCTCTTAGGTTGGAGGCCATCGCTCTTAGGTTGGAGGACATCGCTCTTGGGTTGGAGGCCATCGCTCTTTGGTTGGAGGCCATCGCTCTTAGGTTGGAGGCCATCGCTCTTAGGTTGGAGTCATATCTATTAGGGTGGAGGCCAGCACTCTTAGGTTGGCGACCATCGCACTTAGGTTGGAGGCCTTCGCTCGTAGGTTGGAGGGCATCGCTATTGGGGTGGGCCATCGCTATTGGGGTGGAGGCCATCGCTCTTAGGTTGGAGGCCATCGCTATTAGGAGGCCATCGCTCTTAGGTTGGAGGCCATCGCTCTTATAGGTTGCCCGTCGACAGTGTTTTCAATCGTTTATCGAACCTGGTCACATTAAGCTCGGGAGACGCTTTCGTACTTAAGCCAGTTCGTACCAGATCAAATCACGGGGAACGTCCCAGGCAAATCATGCACTGACCTATGGCTGAGCATTCAGATCCACCTGGACGAAGCTCATCTGGACAGCACGCCCTTAGCAGGAGTAGTTGCTGACCTTGTTAAAGCCTTCCACCTCTTGCCCCGCATCCCTTTGCTCGCAATCGGCCACCACCTAGGACTGCCTAAGCCCATCATCCGCGCGTGGGCCAACGCCCTGAGCCAATTGACTCGAGCATTTAGCGTGAGAGGGACTATCGGCCCAAAGCTTTCCTCAGCCACCGGCTTTGCTGAGGGTTGTGGCTGCGCTGCCATGCTCTTGTGTAATATCACATTGACTAGATGGCTTCGCCTTCGCCACCCCTCGGTCAAGTTATGGTCATATGTCGACAACCTCGAACTCACAGCTCCCTCAATTGAGGACGCTGAACGTGGGCTGTGCTTGATGGCCCGATTCTGTGACCTGCTAGATTTGCATGCAGCTAGACCAAGCCAAGACCTATTATTGGTCCACTGCAACCACTGAACGAGCCATCGCTAGAGATGCCGACCTTCCGCTCCAGTCGTCGGCCCGGGACCTGGGCGCTCACATGGAGGATGGTCGACGCACCGCAAACCATGTCTTGCGTAAGCGAATAGCAGCCATGCCCAAGGTCTGGATAGCATTGGCCAAATCCCCGTACAGACAAAAGGTGTATGCACTCCGAGTAAAAGGATGGCCCCAAACGTTGAACGGTGGAACGGCTGCCAGCCTCGGATGTGCGCACCTTAAAGCACTCCGTACCGGAGCCTGTGGAGGGTTGCGGGTCCATGCTCCGGGCATTAGCCCGATGGTTCATTTGTCGCTGGTTGTGCATCCTTTGTCCGACCCTGAATGCCATTTGCTCGTCGTGCGGACAGTCCATACCTTTCGTAGGCATGCCGATCTCGATAAAGTAGGAATGATAATTGACAATATCCTGCACAACTGGGCAGACATGGTCCACCGCCCTGGCCCCTGCCATGTGTTGCTAGAACGCCTGCATGCGATTGGGTGGCAGTGGGATGGGCACGGATGGATGACCGACGATGCACAGATGCCCGTCGACCTATTCCATGGGTCGTCCACGGAGATTCAACAGCGCCTGTGTGAAGGGTGGCAGTTGTTAGTCCAGCGTAGAGCATGCGCGCGGAAAACCTTCCAAAGGCTTGAGTGGGCCCATCCGGCATTCACCATGGAAAAAGCCAGGCATCTGCTACAAGATAAGTTAGGTCTCCTGCGAAAAGTGCTTAATGGGACATTCTTTACCGCAGACTCCCAGCTGCAGAATAAGAAAACCCATACCCTCACATGCAAATTTTGCGGGCTGTCTGACTCGCAATACCATCGCTTTTGGGAATGCTCACACTTCGATAGCTCCAGGGCATATCCATGGCTCGCGCGCAAAATCTTGGAAGGGGGGCTGCGGAAATGTCTCACATATCATGGTTGGATTGGCCTCCCATCAGAAGTCCAGGACTTGCATAAGGCCTTGTTTGCACAGCCTGACCTTACGGATCAGTTCGAATGTCTACCCTTCAAGCCAACCGACCTCTTTGTAGATGGATCGTGCGCAAATCCCACCTGTGCATATACTAGGATTGCTGGTTGGGGCGTTGTGGCCGCCGATCCCCATGACACTGACCAATGGCGCCCTCTTGCTCAGGGAACTCTGCCAGGATGGTATCAGTGCACTCCGATATGCCCTCCGACATGGACATGCAAGTAGAATTTGGAGTGACAATGCACTTGTTGTTGACACCCTCCGAGTAGCCTTGCACGACCCGGATCGATGTCAACCGCATCGCAAAGACTCTGACTTGTGGACTGCCCTCTTGGCGTTAGCTCGGTCTGTCCCTCCTGACCTTGTTACGGTGCACAAAATTGCGAGCCATCAGAACAAGCTTGGGGCAGATTTCGTCGAGTGCTGGGCATACACCGGCAATGACAATGCCGACCATTGTGCACAGTGTGTTTCAGCTGTGGCACAAAGCCGTTACTGCCATTGAAGCCGCGAGGAACCTTCGCACCCAAATCCATCAAACCATTCTTCAGGTTAGTGGAGATGCAGTGATGCGTGAAGCAAGAACGGTGCCGATCGACACCCCAGCGGTGCCATATCCCTTGCCACTCACTGAGGCCACGATTGCGCCCCTACCTGCTTACCCACAACTGGCCACGTCGAAGTTGGTAGGATCTGCTTGGCCGCAGATCTCCGAATGGTCACGCAGCTTGATAGATCCAACAGCTGAGGTCCGCTTTCTGCCGTGGCTATACATCTACCTTGACTTTGTTTTGCATACCAATGTTGGGGGTGTTAAGCCTTCCAATAAATATAAGCTCTGGAGCTGGTTTGGGCGCGAGGAAGCCAACACATTTGAGCTTGTACACCGAGTCAAATGGTTCCGACTCCTCCTGTTGAGGGTGCACAAAATCGAGGCGACGTTGTTGACCTCTTGCTACGCTCGGCCCTCTTCGAAAGTGACAACCTTCTGGGCGCATTGCGTTTGCTGCCGCATTGCCCCCTGTCGGTTTCAAGCAACCGAACACTTCCTCCAGACCTTCAAGGCCGCATTCGTTTGTGGGACGGACATTGATGTGATCTTGCTCTAGATCGTAGCTCGTGTTTCTGGTCACCCCCGCCACAAGCTGCGGTGCCAGTATCTTGCGGAAAAGCGGAAAAGTGGAGGCCATCCCTGTTAGGTTGGAGGCCATCGCTCTTAGGTTGGAGGCCATCGCTCTTAGGCTGTTGGAGCCAAGGGGCGTGGACCCTGCTGTCCCTCACCTCACGGTGCGTATTTGGTCGTCCAATCACCGCCTCTCCACCGGAAGGACTGGTTCTGCGCCTCAGATCTTGAACGTCAAATCGTTTAACCAAAATGACTCGTGCAACTTGAGAAGGGTGGGCTACACACCAGGTACGTGAGCAAAGGGCATGCACATGAATCAAGCAGCTACACTGCAGCCTTAGCATGCGTGAAACGGGATCAAACCTAGATTGCAGGTGTTCAATCGTTGCGAGTGGTAGGTTCTGAACGCGCTCGGGAGGCATTGCAAAGTGGAAAGCACATGGAAAAAACACTTACGGATGGTCCAGTGATACGATACCCCAGCCCAGCACCAACCTCAGTCGTGCACGGCCTGGATACGGGGACGGCTCATCAAACATAGGAATTTACAGATGGTAAACTGGTAAACCAATATGCTCGAAATATAAACTGCACAAGTCAAAGGGCCCTCTTGGAATGCTCACCACTGAGTGCGAAGATGCTACCGTTGGACCGTTGGCAGTTTGCTGATGAAGCGACATTTTCATGCATTTTCATGTTCACCGCGCTTTCACCACCAGTGAGTCTGTAGTTGATCGCTCATGAAGGGGCACCCACATTCATAGATAAACGATTCAACCTACTAGCTACGGTGACTTGCTTTGAGCAAGGCACGGAGAAGCCAGTTCCCTGCCAGTAGTTGCCAGCAACACCTCTTGCAAACGATAAGCTCCGCCGGACGAAAGAAGAAGCACAGCTCCAGGCCTTCGGTGTCGAGCTCCCCTGCAGTTGACTCATCCATCAAAACAAAATGCCTCAGCGCCAAGTCAGAAGACCCAAAGTTGGATGTAATCCAATACCCCCGAATAAAGCTACCTTCTCAAGTGGTTCGGGCCGACACCTGGTTGCGTTCAAGTTTCTCCCCATCAAACTGATAGGCAGCCACATAATTGATCTTCGGCGAGCCGTCTATGAGACATCGCGGAAGGCCCGAGCAAAACTGGCCAGTGCCCTGGGTTTCCTGAAGTCAGGCTTGGCCAAAGAACAGCACGCAAAGAATACAACATATTATATATAACATATTTCATTGACTTGCAATATACTTGGTCAGGACATATTCTGAACAAGCACCGACTCCGCATCTGCCTCACATGTGGCTATGACCCAGTTGAAGTGCGGGCGCAAGCCACAGCAAACTCCGCAATGCTGCCACATTTGTGGATTGCCATAGCGGCAGCTCAAGCTGGTGGTGTCTGTCGCACCTCGATACGTGCAATGTGGAAGAAGTGAAGCAACATGACTGTTCTCTAAACATGTGACGCACCCTACCTGGGATGCTCGGTTCAGGGTTTGGAGCATAAAGGATCTGCGCCGTCTTGTTCTCGGCACAGGGCACTGGGCTGTCCAACCTCGGGGATTGTCGAAGCAACTGTGTATCAGATTGGCAGGCCGTTCCAAGATCAAGATCCAAGTGACAAGCTCAAGGCATTGGCCAAATCAATTGGATCCGCAAATCCTTTCACTCTCAAGTATCTTTGGCACTCCTGCCGTGTCACCCCGGTGACCATACTGGAAACACGATTCGAAACGACCGCTGTGGCCATGCCGTGGCCTTTGTTCGAAGCGGGTCCTCCTCAAGATGTGCCGCCACACCAAGGGCCCAAAGGGTCCAACTCTTCAGGGCACGGTGCATGGCACGGCGTGAAACATCCGAATCTTTGGAAGGTCGAAACAAGCTACGCAGCTACAGTAAGTTCCAGCTACAGTAAGTTCTGGCAGCAAGAACATCTTGTTAGAAAAGTTTTGTGACATGTGCATTCACCGGTCCTCGATCAGCAAGAGCCAAGAATTCTGCACTCAAGGAACGAAACTCAGTGCTCAGTGGTTTTCGGACGCTCTGCGAGGAGTCCCGTTTCTCGTCTGCGCGGCCACAGTGAAGGTTTGACTGTCTGTGACTGCAACTCGTTAAAGAGACTGACATGTTTGGATATCTTTGGTATTGACCAGCACGGTTGTATCGACTGCGCCCCTGACAACTGGCAAACACCCCAACAACGGAGTGCCTTTCACATACTCAGCCTAGCTTCAATGGCCACAAAACGACAAACACTTCTTGACCAAAAATGCCGTACTAGGTGCTTGTGATGAAGTTGATGGCAAGTTCACATGTCATGTCTTTTCACACGAGGGCGCAACTGAAGGCCTTTGCGCTCACTCAAGAAATCGCACGAGCTGCCTGAGGGATCCTTTTTAAGAACACGTGCTAGGTTTTTACGAACGCTGGCCAGTGGGCTGGGCTGAAATGGTGCTGATTTTCTTGCATCACCGTTTCTCAGCTGATTGCTGGAAGGCTGGTTTGGAGCAGTGAGGATTGAGCTGGTCAGTAGAAAAGGTTACAGTCAATGAAAAAAGATTGATACAAGAGGTTGCATGTAAGCTGAAAAGTCAATGACTGCGATTCTTGGCCAACTACGGAATTAACCAACGTCCTGGATGTTGCGCAAAAAGATGGTACTTGCCGAGTGCCACTTATCATCTCAGTCCATAAAATAGACTAACATGTAATAATTATGTAATATATGTCTGTCCCGTGCAACTGCAACTCCCGAATTTCATGATGGCGTTTCCTTAAGCTCGGGCCTTCTTCAACTTCGCTCGTCCGTTTTTTGTGTTGACTATTGGCCGTTCAGGATTCCTCGACAATAATTGAAAATTAACGCCAAACATGATCGATCATACATATATAAACCTCTAATACAGTACACATACACATATGTATATATATATATCGAATCATATAAAGGTACGCATATGCGTATGATACAGAACTATACTTTACTCAGTTAAGTGTTTTTGATGTACAGTCGGTGTTCAATGATATTCTCAATGGACCTTGATGGCTCATTTCTTGCCAAAGCCAGTGCAGGGCTTGAAGTTGGCGGTTTCTCGACCCATGCACTTTCCACCCTCCTGTCATGGCTTTGAGATTGCTATACCTTTTCCGCAGAACCAACACATGACAAAAACAAGTCAAACAACAACATCCAAGCAAACAATCTCAAACTGTAATTGCATGTTAAAATCGTGATCCGTCCTTTTCCAAGAACTTCCTCATGTCAGAATCGTGCAATGCTGCAGCATACACGGCTGTCTGACCATCATTGTTCATGGCATTCACATCTGCCTTTGCCTCCAACAACTTCTGCGCAACCTCCACAGATCCCTTTTTGTAATGGTTCCCGATGACTTGGAAGAGAACTGTGTTGCCGAACTGGTCCTTCTTCGTTACATCGGCACCTGCTTCCAACAACACCTCGATGATGTCCAAAGAAACATTGGGATGAAGACGGCTCTCCTTCGCAGCCCAGAAGAGAGGAGTTTTACCTCCTCCACAGTTGATGTCCACTGCAGCCTTTGCATTCAGCAACGATTGCACCATCTTGACAGACTTTCCCCGAGCAGCCTGTGACAAAGGCGTCCCATAAACAGAAAACCTCACGCCCCTGTGAGCAACATTCACCTTCGCCCCCATCTTCAGCAAAAACTCCACAGCTGCGTCCTGGGACCGCAACTCTGAGGAGGGTGGAAAGGACGGAGAACAGATTTGTGATGATTTGCGAGTGGGTAGCGGACAGTAAGAAGAGCAG